TGACTTGGTCCATCCCAGTTGATATTTTTACCGCGTAATTGATAAAGATTTATTGTTTTTCACTATGATTGGGNCGGGTTGGGATTTTGGGTCGTGACAAAGCTACACTTACAAAGTTCTTCAGTTAATTTTGAAAAAAATTATTTTTTAAGTAGCTTTAAATGTATACCTTAGAGTTTAAATCTTTATACATTTAATTATAAATTTATTAATAATATATTAGTTCTATTCAATATTTAACTAGTGAAATATGCATATCTTTTGAGATTTTAAATTTGAATAAATTTCTTATTTTTTATATGTAATATTAAAAAAGGAAAAATAATTGATATTTAGATAATTTTTATCTATAACGACCAAGTAATATTTGTTGATACCCAATTTTTCCTTCATATTTTTAAAATAAGTATATATACTTTCAAAGTATCATTTTTGTATCATTATATTTATACAAATAATTTATAATTTTTCCTAATTTTTAGATCTTTAAGATTATTTTTTTCTTGTATTTAAATCACATGAATATTATTAAGTACCGCTTGATTTATTTTGTGATGATTTAATTACCCAAATTTATTATTTGCATCAACATATATGTTTCAGAATATTTTTTACTTTATTTTATGTAAGTATATTTGTATTTTTAAGCTATTTACATAATTTTACGATAATAGGCTATATTCGTGCATAATTATATTTTATATTATTTGTGCTAAAATAGCATTTTTTATATTTTTATAATGTTAGATTATTATTTTCAATCATTTTATTTTATTATCTATTAAATAGTTTTATAAATTATTTTATTAATAATTTTCATGTATTTAATTTATAGCCCAATTCAAGGCTAATTTAGGACCACATTAGTGGCCCAAATACCCCAAATCCTTGGCCCAATTTCTCAAGTCCAAACCAGACGACCCCTTTTAATTTTCAACCCAATCAGGACCCGATCTCTAACCCGCCCCGTCTCTCGCTCAATTTTGGCCGTTTATCTCGGAGGATCAATGGCCCATAGCCTCTCTCTCACTTTTAATTACCCAAACCCTACGAAACCATACTTATTCTCCTCAATCCGCCACCCTAAACCGCTCTCAACTCTCCTCCTCCCTCTTCTTAAGAACCCTAGTCGCCTTCTCCTTAATCACCTCTCCTAATTCTGCTAATAATGAGATTTTACCATTATTTGCTTACCATATTTGGGTTCTTTTGGTACTGGTCACACGTTTATAGCATTACTTAGGTATTTTCCCAATTTTGACAAATACCACCTCTATATCGGATGAGAATCAACTCAATCTTGGAGATTTGGACAATATTTCGTCCACATACACGAAGAAAAGCTGGATTCTTCATACTAGTTGGCCGATTTTGAGTTTTAAACCCTAACTAGGGTTTGAAGTTTGATTTTTTTCCTTTCCGGTTCCCCTACTGACTTGCATGTGAGATTTTACCCTTTTTGTTCATGTTTACTTGATTTCTTTCTTTGTTTATTTGCCTGATTTTACCACTATATAAATGCCTCCCCTAATCCCCTTTGAACAGAGGCTAATCGCTTAACAACTACTGTTAATCCTTTATTTTTACTTTTTATTATTTCTGCTCTCTCTTGATTATGGTCGGTTGGAAGCCAAGGCCACTAGAATCTTCGCTATTAACTTTTCTAGTGCGAGCACTGCTCAAGGCTCACTAAAGCTCCTGTGAACTCTGACACACTAGGATTTGGGGTTTTTTTTACTGTTGCCTTTCTGTTGCTGTACCCTTGTGTTCGTTTATCTTCGTAACTGGTTAGCATTCTTGACCCTCATAGCCTTCATTGTTATTCCTTTACTTGCTTAGGTGTGTATTCTGTTAGGAAATCCCTGCTCTCTCTGTTAGCTATAGCATTAAAAGATGAACCTCATAAGTCTTAAAGTTCGCCTAGTACCAAGCTTGTCACTTATGTTGCTACGATTATTTAGCACTCCATGGGTAAGCAAGGCAGCTGTCTTAAAGTTTGGGCCTAGTTATCGGGCTAGTTTGGTACTCAAAACTGAAGCGTATTAATAGCCATCCGTAGTTTGGGCATGTTCATCACCTAAGGCTCCAGGCTTAGTTGAAGACCCAAAATCAGCCTGGGGTATCCTGTATTTGCTGTATTTTGGGCATGTAGCCGCCCTATTAAGTCTGTAACTATTTTATCCTATTTGGGCCTGTAATAATCTGTAGTAACGAATAATGGGGATATTAGTGGAATTGGGGGGAACGAGTATATTCTAATGCTTGCATAAAAAGGGTAGAAACACATGTTTATAGGGTCTATGTGCTCTATTCGCCTTTTCGTTTAGCATGCCTTAATTGTTATTTTGTTTAGTGTATTCCTATTCTGCCACTCATAGAAATCATGCTTATAGAAAATCACACACACTTCACTCTACCTGTCTAAAATATGTTTAAGTATTTGCTATACTTGTTTCAAGGTTTACTATTGTGCAAACTTAGACAGCATGCCTATAGGATAAATAACACATGTTTCGTTACTTCCCATCTAGATACCATGTCTATATGGTTTCAATTAATTAATCAATCAATTATTTTTATTTCTCTTAACACACCGCTCATTTAGATATCATGACTATAAAATTTTAATCAATTAATCAATCACTTTGTTACTTTGTCGTATTGCCCCACTTAGATGACATGCCTATAGGGAGAAAATATGTAAAATCAATTTCAACTGTTAGAAATCATATCTATAGGACACTGTCATCTTCCTAAGAAGCATGCCTACAAAACCAACACTGGTAATTCGGGATTCTGAGATCATTTCACTGCCTTATTGCGCATATAATTAGAAATCATGTCTATAGAATTTGAAATGCTTTAATTTGCCTATACGTTACAGTACTGCCTGTATAATACTTAGAAATTAGAATCACATAGGAACCATGCCTATATGATTTAACAACTTGATTCTGAAACCGTCTACTGCCTAATCTGAAAATCTGTGATTAATCGAGTGCTTTTTGTGCTTATGTGTGGAGGTTAACTTGAGCCTTTTATTGGTATTATGTGAAGTCCTAACTGTTTGAATGTCGCCTAGTTTTTATCATTTTGAGCATCCTAAGTAAGTCTGGAACCACCCAAATAGAGGTCCAAAGCTTCCTGGACCATAGGCATATGATGGATAATGCACGCATAAGACGCGGCTTAGAATTGAATTAGAGCGCTTTTAGGTAAACAACTTCAACATAGTAATTGAGTAGCAGGAGATGATAGTCTGTACCCGCTGAATAATATGAGCAACTCCTATTTTAAGGGAGTTGCGAAGTATTATTTATATTGCACGGGGTGATCCTTTAGGCTAAAAAACTTGGGACCCCTTCCCCTTTATGCTTGCTAAAAGAACTTAATCAATTAAATAGAGATCGACGTAGTTGTGATCTTTAAACTTGTATTCATTATTCATATAGTTTATTCTTTCTCATATTGGCTTATGTTACAATAGGACTTTCAACTTTCGTATCTTCCTTCCTACGCTCACCTAGTTCAATTATATAATTCACATAATTTAAAGTTTGATCGGGACCCACAGTTGTGGACCTCAAAGAGTGCCTAACATTTTCTGTTTGAGGTAACTTGAGCCCTTACCCGATCTTTGGTGATACGGACTAGTCAAACAGAGTTATTCGCAAAATAGGTGCCCTAACACATCATAAAAATCGTTAGGTGATAACTCATCTCTTTTAATACTCATTTAAAAGAGTTGTCACACACCGAACTCCGCTTTCGAGAGAAAACAGGGGGCGATAATATTTAAACGTCAAATGTTGTTATAGGTGTGTAACAACCATTCACTATATATAAAAGCTAAAAAATATCGGAACAAACGAAGTTGTTTTAAATAGTGTCGATTATAGCTGCATTTTTCTTTTTCTTTTCCTTTTCTTTATTTCCTTTCGTGTATCTTTATCCTTTTCTTTTTTCGTGTTTCAATCCCGACAACCTAAAACCCTTTATTTTGTCAAAGTTGTTATAGTTACTATTCGGTATCTGTTCTGTCTGATTGTTTAATGCAACTTTATTTCTAAATGCATTTAAAATTCTCAAATTTAAGATTCCACTTGTAAGAACATTCACACAGTAAAATAAAAAAGGTAATATGAAAAATTCATGTTATATTTCATGAACTATTTTTTTAAACTGCTAAGTGATTGAAAAGAAATAATGTTGGCTAGTGTTTTTAATAATCCCAAGTATCCCTTCTCCTTTGTCGTCATTTCTCCTAGTATTCAGTTTGTAATTTTTTTTTTTTTTTTGGTGATGCCCACTTAAAATATTCGTCTTTACTGCACTTAAATTGGAAGTTATGTGTTAACTCCAAAACTATTATTCTCATTTTAATCACTCAACTAATCCACTGTTGGAACGTAAAATTTAGCTTTTCTCAAATCTTCATCACCTCTTTTGGCAGTTAATGTGTTAACGGATACTCTATTACAATTGGAGAAAGGGCAGAGGCGCCAATTTTTAATTAATTAAATCAATGATGAATGATTTGATTACAAACTCTATATTTGTCACCAACTTGTTGATTTTGTGGATGGAAGGGCGACGAGATCGAGTAGTTTATATGGAAATACCAACGTAACCATGGTGGACAACTTGACCACTAGTTATCCTATTAATTATAATCGGGCAAACGTTAAAGAAGTGGTTGATTAATACCCAAGAATGCATGAACAAAATCTTGCGAGTGCAGGATTAATTAACCCAAAACCTATTCTAGTTCATGCAGTGCAAAAAAAATAATAGTTTCTACCTTTAATTTTGACTTTCCAACACTGTAAAGGTTTCTGATGTTACCAATTAAAAGCTGGCCATGAACGTGATATAGGGTTCTTGAAAACTCCGGTATGTGTTTGGAAAATATTTGGGTGAAATTGAAAAACATATATTTAAATCTAAAGTAATAAATTAAGAAGTGGTATCTACAAGGTCTAGTTATGTTTGGACTTGAATTCCATGGAAAAAAAACTTGAAGATTATTTATTAGTAAAATTCCATTATTTCATATGACATGAAATACTTCTGAAATAAAAAAATTTCACTGGTATTTCAAATGTTGAGTTCATCAGTATTTCTGATGGCCAGCTAAAAGATAAATTCATCTCAGAAACTTAGACCGTACTGTCCTCAAACTTCAGCAAGTACTAACTACCGTGCTTTTCCAACTTCTCATAAGACTTGGTAGAGACCTGCAACAGATTTTACAAACTGTTAATTAATATATCTAAAGTATATATAGTACAGGGATTCTCTTAAATAATCTTCTAGATCATGGGAAATAACATCCACATTTCAGCAGTTTGTTCTGAATGCTTCACAATTGCTGAAGGAATAAAACTTTCTTGTTTCTGTACCCTGTATGTAGCTACAGAAAAAAGAGAAGAAGACCGACCAAAATATAGAAATTATTCATTCTTTTAAAATCGACACCGGTATTTGATCATTTTTAACTATTGCAGATTTTGGTTCATTACCTTATTAGATGATGGAGAGGTGCGCGCAAATCTGCTTGGAGAATTCGTGTTTACTAAGTGTCCAGGGGAGACAGATACTACAGTTGGTGACTGCATATATGGGGAAACTGGTGAGCGCAACATTGGACTTTGTTGGTAAGATATTGGTATCTGATGAATACTTGAAACTGGAGATGCTATTGGACTTTGCCACTTCAGTTTAGAAACCCCTGACGCCACTGCTCCTGGAGATCTTCTAGGCGAAAATATCATCGAGGGAGGAATATTGATTCTAATTCTGTACACAAGAAAATCAGAGACTCAGCTATTCAATGCATTCTTATGATATAGTAAACTGAAATTGCTACAGTTACATACTTCTTGTGAACATCAACATAATCATCAGTCTCATCATATATAGGTTCCTACGACAAAAAGTGAAAGAGTTAAAGCAGACCAATTAGCTAGGAATCATCAGTTTCGGAAAATTAAACAAACAGAAAACATAACCAACATGAATAAGTATTAATTTTACCTGCAGAAGTTGTTCAAGAACATCTTCCATTGTAATGATACCAATTGCTTCTTCTCCTATAATCGAAGATCATTCCAATTTATCAAAGATATACACTTCTCTGGTTTCCCGAAAATTATATTGTACTGACTATTCTTACCTTTTTCATCAACTGCAGGTTCTTGAATTGGACGGGGAAGGATGTTTATCTTGATTATATCATGTTTAGCAGTGGCATTTTCTGCAGCTTCTTTAGTATTCCTACTACTCTTCAAGACTACAGCCATATGGCTGTTCCCTTTCTGGAACTGGTTCAGAAGATCATATAATGGTAAAGACTCTGGGACCCTGAGGGAAATTACAGTTTTAGTTATTTGAGTCCAAAATTTATTCAAAAAAATTGTTTAAAATTTTCGTAGAGATTAAAAGGGCAGCCCGGTGCACTAAACTCCTACTATGCACGCAGAGGCGGATTCAGAATTTTAAGCTTATGGGTTCCTACAACAATCTCAAGTTAATCTAAATGATAATTGGATCAACGAACTGGGTTCCAAGGTAAATATTCTTATACTTTTAATAAATTTTTTAATACAAATACAGAGTTTATGCAAAAGTTACTGGGTTCACAGGAACCCGGATCCTTTTCTCTGGATCCGCCCCTGTATGCACGGGGTCCAGAGAATGGCCTGACCACAAGAATCTATTGAATTCAGCCTTACCTTGCAGAAGGCTGTTTTCACGCCTCGAACCCGTGCCCTCCTGGTCACATGACAATAACTAGTTTGGATTTACTTTTATATAAATATCGCAACATTTCAAGTAGTATTTTCTTAATATGTCCAAGCCAAATGAACAGCTAAAATTGGAACGGAAGTACTACTTTCTTGAAAAGAATGCATCATATTATACGTAAGAATTTACAGTATCGTACTCTGGCATACTCCTTATACTGAGATCTTTGATTGGCACCTCATCTTCGGGACGATATTTTATCAAATTCTTCACCTAGAATTGAAGAAAAGTTAAATATGCCATACAAAGGAATAGCAAAAATGTTGCAGAATGATACTAGTATATTTGTTTTATTATCCCATTAAATATTAATAGAGTTTCTGAAAAGACTTACTAAGATTAGTCCTACAATGTTCGTTGGACTGCCAGAGTATACAGGTACGCGACTGTGGCCTTTACTTATAATCAGATTCATCATCTCACTGGGAATATAATCATCAAATTTTGGGTTACTATTAACAAGGTGTGCTTATTGAAGGAGAAATTTGACAGAGAGTTAGTAGCATACTCAGTCAGTTTAGAATGAAGATCAAGAGAAAATACTCTGGACATGGGGGTCATTGCATCTTTAACCATTTTCTGAGCTAGGTCCAATGCTCCAGCAATTATGGTAGTTTCGTCGTGGCTCAACTCTCCACCTTTCCCTGCCTATCATCACCGGAGGCAAATTCATGATCTAAGTGTTGGGAATAAACCCCGTAAAAATAATATTCACGGTATTAGTGATAAACGCGGAACACTAAGTTATGGTTAAATCAACAAGAATAGAAATACAGCAATAATGACACCAAGATATTACGTGGAAACCCTTCTGAATAAGGGAAAAATCACAGCCAAAAAGAGCAACTGATATCACTATAGCAAGAAATTTTACACTGTGTAGTAACGAATACAAATACTCCTAAGACCACTACACCCTCAAAAGAAATAAACACTCTTTTGCTTTTTTCACCTCACTACAATATCTCTCATACTCTATTTTTCTTCACAAACTATTTTCTTATAGTTTATGGAATACCTTGCTCTCTCTCTCTTTCCTCTCTTTGTTGGTGTGTCGAAATGAGAGTTAAGACTCTCCTTTTATAGCCAAAACCTCACTCTCTAAAGCCTACAATATTTGACAATTTACACACC